TGCAGTTTGGTTCTTTTTCCTGTCGCAGGTCAAAGCTCAGAATATATATGTATACTGTATATATATATATATGGAGCTACAGTCAGGTTTTTCCATTAGTAACACATAAATGTGAGTGACAGTTGGGGTTTTTGAGCACGTTTAGTGTTTTAAATCAGTTTTTCAAATCAGAATATGTTTCCATTTCTGTGAGGCTTTTTGATTCAGTCAGCTGGAAGTGCAACTTTGTACTCTTAGAATTAGCAAAACTGATTTTTAGGGAGTTTGGATATTAGTTATTGGGAATTTTCTCCTCATTGGCCTTTAAAACAGTCAGTCAAACCTTAGTGCCTACAGATGTCAACACATAGTTTAATCCAGGAAGACTGGTCCCCTTTTCCCCATGTTTTTTATTTTATTTTAATTTTATTTTTTTGGCATATGTGTCCATACAAGCCTGCTAATGGATTTTCAGTCCACCCGATTCTTTTAGGCCCGATGACAAATACCAGCAGACCCCAGAACAGCACTGTACCACCCTAAACAGAATTTATTTTCTGTAAYCTGTTTGTAGGCCTGCTTTAACAATGACTCAAATTTATATCATCTAATTTAAGCACAATTTCAAGTTTGTGTTGAAGATCAACTGATCTCAATATTGGTTTCATTTTTTTATGGGGTTGATGTTCTGGGTAAAAAAAAAAGTTTACAACCCTCAAAATGTCAGGAATAAAAAAAACCACTGCACGGTGGTCACTTTAGATCAAAAACTTGAAGCGCCAGTTTTTCAAAATGTTTTTTTTATGTCTTTTAACCTAAGTTTTTCATTGGCCTCAGCTTAGATACCACTTAAAAACTCATAATAGCTTAGAATACGTGATGAAAAACACCACCGGTTACTGGTTAAAAGCTCAAATTTGAGCTGGACTTATCAGTTAGGCTGGTTGAGGCCAGAGTGTTTGTTCTGGCAGAAACTTTTTTTTTTGTCAGTCCAACTTCCAGGAAGTCTGAGTCTTTTTTTTTTTTTTTTTTTTTTTTTTTTTTTCAGTTGATTTTGAATTAAATGTCAGCCATATTTGTTCTTCTGGATACATGATTGTGTGAGTTCTCGAATGAGGAAGACGAGGCATCTGTATGTAGCTCTTTACACACACACAAAAAAAGAAAATTTATGAAACTTTTGGTGCAACATGGACACTCATGCCTCATCAGGACTGGGTTAAAACAGCTGAGTGAAACTGAGGAGAAAAAAAAGAAAAAATATATATAGACATATATATATTGTTCAGAATATTTATAGGCCTTTTGTGCCATTGATTTCATGCTCTGGGCTGGCAGCGTCCAGCGCTCTCTACCATGTGATCATTATACATCGTCTTGTACTGATGACCCGTGGTTGATATGATTGTTTTTTCATGTCAAGTGCATTTTTCGCAATAAATGCCTTTGTTTTGAAATAAATGTCGTGTGTGCGTGTGCTTTTAAAGACCAGCAAAACAAACACATTACCTGTCAAGCCCATTTGGATTTGGTCCCGTAGAGGTTTCAACCTGAGAGTCATATCCTGCTCTAATTATAATCATCTTCACTCTCAGTGTGCTCATTAGGAGCTTATGAAGCGTTATGAGTGGCGCTCCAGGTCTAGTTGTATTCACTGAGCGTTATTGTTTTTATTACTGCAGACATGTTGGTGATGGATGTCTGTTTTCATCCCCGCTGGCATCTTCTCCTCTCTCCTTTATCCTCCTCCGTTCTTATCATCCCTCTTAGCTCCCCAGCCAAACACTGACATGGATGAGGTGTGTAATTGGTAATTCCAGAGCGTCGCCCGCACTCCCCTTAAATGACAACCTCATCTCTGCAGAAGTCAGGCCTGTCTACAGTGACGGCCTGCATTTGCATTTAGAGTGACTGGCGAAAGGTGGGGCGGAGGGGTGTGTTAGGACTGTGTGTGTGTGAGCAAAAGTGTGACAGCTATCAGATTCACGCCCATTCAGAAAAAAAATGTGACTTTTAACACTCAAAACTGCTTTAATTGAGGTGAAAAACCACCTTTTTTAAAAAGATCTCTGTAGTGTTGAGATAGTGTTCAGCTTTTCCATGGATTTTGGTGAAATCAACCAGAGAGCAGCTGAATACAAACTGACATACAAACATGCTTTATCCATGTTTTGCCTTAGAGACAAGTCTCTCCTCTGGGTGTCCTTTTTCCCTTCCTAATAATAATAATAGTGAGGTGCTGCAGGCTCCTGCAGGGAATCAATCAGCGCTCCTCGGCTCCGAGCCAAAACCTGTCTGTCCACCTGTCTGCGTGCCAGCGTTGAAGTCAGTTGAAGGGCAACAGAGCCGGAGGGTGAGACACTGCGGGGTACAGCAGTTTCTTTGTGAGGGTGTGCTCAGGAACAAAAGGAAGAGGTGAAAATGTGAAAAAAGAAAACCAAATATTTCCATATAAAAAAATACATTTTCAATTCCATAAAAAATGTGGGCACAAACACATAACTGGTATGTACTGTATATATA